GCAATACCTAAAATCTCTCTTCTCAAAAGTTCACAGTGAAAAGATAAAGAAAAAGAAGCAGGATGCTGTGATTTCATGGTGCTTTCTTCATTTACTCTCTAGACGATCACATAAAAAGACAGCAGCAGGAGTGTCTAGCAGAAGTTATAAAAATAGCATGTATTTTCACAGCTTACTGGTTTTCTAGCTAGTCTCTGCTGTTAGAACTGCTTTGGATAAAGAGATGAATACCTGGAGGGCGGCACTGTACAGAGACTCAAATCCATCAGCTTAATATCTAGCAGCAGTTAAGAAAGCAAACAAAAAACTTGGATTTATTCGGTGAAGGATATAGTGCCCATCAGCAGAGATCATTAATGGGGTTAGTTAATGAAGGGGGTTAAGTAAGGGGTTGGTTGGACCATACTCTGTATTGTCCATCTATTCATCTATGCTCCCATGCAAAAAGCATCTGTGCACCTCCCAAGTATTTAAAAATAGAAAAAGTGTGTGTGCGTGTGCGCGTGTGTGTGTGCATGTATGACAGAAATGGAAAGAACTTATGGAAAGCTAAGCCAAAGGAATGAGTTTTATATTTAGTTTTAAATAAATTAGTGGCCTGGTCATTCTTATCTCTGGCAGGAGTGAGTTCTGTAGTCTAGGTCCAACTCCTGTGAAAGTTCCTTCTACAACACTTATGAGCTCCCTACCGGTGGACAGGTTTTTTTCCATTGGAATGTAGCTGTTGTGAAAGGTCATGGAGGGAGTGATAATCTCTCAAATACCAACAGCCAACCTGAGGGGAGGCTCTGAATATTAGGATAGAGCCCTTGCGCTGAACTCTGCATCCAGTGGAGATCCAGAGCCAGGTCAACATGTTCATGGAACCTATGCTAATAAACAGATGGACTGCTGCACTTCGTACCAGCTGAAGCTTTTAACAGGTGCGATGAACAGTCATACTTTCTCTACAGCCAGGCTGGCAAATGCTGACCAGGCCTCCTAACGGCTAAAGTAAACAAAGGATTGTAGGGCACTGTGTGTGTATGTATGTCAAAGTGGGGTTGAATGAGTAGAGTAGTCACGCACAGAGAAGACTAGAGGAATGAGCAGAAGAGTAAGTGGGGTGTGTATTGGAGACGGGTGAAGAGAGAAAGATGGAGAATAAAGTGAAAGGAACAAGAGATTGAAATCCTTATGACTCTCTTTTAAATTACTCAGAACCTAAAAATAGATGTACCAACATTGATTAACAAATCATATATATATACATATATATGTAAACTACAGATATCCGAATTGTTCTTTACAATGTGGAGCAACATCCACAATTCATTCTGCAGAAAGGTAATTAGTTGGATCATTATCTGTTAGGATCAAAGCTACCACTAGAGTCTGAGCACAAACATGTGCCTGCAATGAATCCAGGGCTGACAGGCCAAGCTTCCTTTGACCTGCCAAAAACAGCTGCCTCCACAACCCTACCATCCACCTGCCTGTGGCGCTGTGTGATGCCCATTTCCCCAAAATTTAGCTCACTTTTCTTCCCACATCTCAATGCTGGTGGACGAGAGCTCGCATACTTTTTTTTCTGGAATTATAACATTTTTCTATGTCTGAAAATATGTGCTATCTTTTTCTTAATTAAAAATAATCTTACTCTGTATTTGTTTTACTGCACAAAGTGTACTGCTCTTCGGAGATTTTTTTTCTTGCTCAAAAGCATGAAATTAACTGCTCTCAGCCAGGTCTGAAGAGGCAAGGGGATTAAAAACATTTTTTCTAACCGCATTTAAAAATAATCATTTGACAATGAATAAGCAACTGCATATGAATCTAAGGTAGAGGCTACAGATTCTGCTTTCTCTGACTGAACCACATTCAAATAAAATAGAATACCACTGTTAGCAGGAGGGCTGAATTAGGGCTTCTGCAAAATCATAGTATTGAATTGTCTGACTTTCAGATGAAGGAAATGCTGCTTTTGCATTAACAACATTGCATTAACATTTCCCAATTCTGGAAGGTGTTGAGCACCCTTGACTCCTACTAACGTCAAAAGGAGCTGAGGGTGGTCAGCACCGTGCAGGGTATTGCCAATATTTTAATACATTTGATATATCACCTGAATCTCTTCTCTGCATTAATTTTCCTGCTTAGAAAAATAGTGTCCAAGAATGCACTACAGTTTCTTGAGAGTTTAAATTGATTTATTTCTAGACCATTTGGCAACCTTTTACTGACTCGCTCTTGCATGAAGGGGTATATTTTCAAATCCATCTATAGAATATTTATGCCAGAAATGGCCATTGTGCACAATGTTCAGAAATTACCAAATATTCTGCCTTTATGTAATATGATGATCATAGAATATCAGGGTTAGAAGGGACCTCAGGAGATCATCTAGTCCAACATCTGCTCAAAGCAGGACCACTCCCCAGACAGATTTTTGCCCCAAATTCCTAAATGGCCCCCCTCAAGGTTTGAACTCACAGCCCTTGGTTTAGCAGGCCAATGTGCAAATCACTGAGCTATTCCTCCCCCTAAGCGTGGGGTTGGGGGCAGAGAAACAGGAAGTGGGTTGTCATGGGGGTTTCTTTAACTCTATTCCTGGGGGAATTTTTGTGTGTGCCTGTATTGTTACAGACATACTTGCTGACGGGTATTTTGAAATAAATTACCAAAATAATTGAAACTGGCGTGATTATATAGTGTTGTATATATAGTAAAATTGTATATATAGTAAAATTTTCAGAATTTTTAAATATTGTGCATAGAATTTTTAATTTTTTGGTGCAGAATTCCCCCAGGAGCAGAAAATGAAAAAACAAAAACAAAAACCCAAGGCAAACTCACCCCACCCAAAACAGGCATGTGGATTTTCTAAAGGGTGATGCATTTTTATCTGGTATACAGGACATTTCTAGAGAATCAGTGACTTGTAAATTAGCTGGTCTGTTGCTTGCATCATTTCTTGGCATTTCATTCAGCTTTTAATTAAACACAGAGAAATAAATTTTTTCTATGCAATGATACAGAACCATTTTCATTACAGATATGCCCCCGATTAAAAACAACAATTACCCCACAATCTTTTCCTCCTTCTCATGATCGGTTTATAATGGAGAAGCCAAAATGTCATTGAATTAAATACTTTGCTTTATCTTCTGTGATAAGAAAACCAATAATTCAGTATAATAGTGCACAGCCACTATCAGCACCGAGCCTGGGATGCCATCACATTTACCTCACGGGAAAACTTTCTCCTTGAGTCCTATAATCGGTTGCACAATCATTAATTTCAAAGACACATTTTTAACTGTTTTCACTGTAAATACTTCTTTAAGCAGAAAAGACTACATATAATATTAATTACTTTTGTGTAAAATATATGAAGGGAAGAATTTTAACATCACTGAGCAATCGTCTGTAAAAAAAGATTGTTGTTTTAAATACAGAGAAACATTAAAAGCACGTACCATAGCCTTGTGATTAGTAGTAACGTTTTCAAAAGCACCTTCGTGACTTTAAAGCCTAAGTCCTACTGCCTTTCAATAAGACTTATAACCTCAGTATTGCAATGCCTGTCAGACGAGCCCATGTCTATGCTACAAGCTAGGAGTGTGATTCCCCTGCTTGTGTACATGTACTCATGCTAATTCTCATGGAGCTAGCACAAGTATAAGTAGCAGAGTAGCTGCACTATCATGGGTAGTGGCATGGAGGCACAGTTGAACCATGATGAGTATGTATCCACCACTTTCAGATGGGTTTGTACATGGCACAGCTCAGCTGTGCTTCTGCGGCCATCATCCATGTTACCGCAGCTATGCAGCTATTTATATTCGTGTTAGCTCACTGAGTGCTAGCGCAAATATGTGTACACGACCAGGGGAATCACATTCCTATTTCAATGTCTGAATACCTTCAAAAACCTGGGCCTTACACACCTTTGAAAAGTTCCTGTAAAACATTAGTAATGGGTAACTTGCTTCCTACGCACCCAAGTCATTTTTATTTCAGGTCATTTTAGCTTTTATGGACTTGTGATAGGCAAAATGCACAATCTCTACTATATTCCCAAGATTATCTGATGTAGTTCCCTATTCAGCAAGGTTTTTAAGCATACAAATAACTTTAAGCTTATGAATGCTCCTATTCAAGCCCAGTTTTTAGATTTGTTAGTGCCAGTAAAGAGTTCCCTGTGCAATGAGCATATTGTCAGAAACAACTTAGTTCAACCTTGCAACACATAGCTGAGGCAGAATATTGGATCATTAATAAGCAATGGTTACAGAAGTCTGCTAAAGAGCGTCAAGTATTTCTGTAATACTATTGTTTGCAAGTGCCACAAAGTGATAGAGATGTCTCTGACAGTATCATTCTTGAAAAAAATTCAGGTACAAAGGAAGAATAGCCCATAAATCATCTTTGAGCCCACAGCCATCCTTAGGCCAGTCAACAGCTTGTAGTAAACAATCACATACAAAATAAATGGAACAAATGAATTGCTTTAGTCCCCAAAGCAAAAAAGAGCAATCCATCTGAAGAGCATTAATACGAGTTAATTTGGCACACCATCTCTAATTTAGGATTTCAATGTAAATAATCTAAGCAGGTAAGTTAACCTTTTTTTTTAATATGTGAAAGAGGATAATTCTACACTAACTTGTGACACACTATTTTTTCACTATTTCAGAGCTTTAAAAAAGCCATTGTTAAATAGTTCTCCATTCCAGCCCTAATCCTGCAACAAGTTTTGTCATTGATCTCAATCGGAGCAGGATTAGGCCCTTGATCTCAATAACTATTTAGTTAAATGGATGAACTAACCTGAAATGTGAACAAAAAGCCAATAATGATAGGTGAAATGAAGCCACCTTAAGATGAATGTTATAAAATGTGCCATTATGTACACAAAATCTACATTTTTAGCAGGGGATTGGTGGGCATGATTACACTCTGATGCAAATATCTTCCAGCATGAAAAAAACAAAAAAGAACCCCAAAAATACTCTTACTTGTTTAAGCTTCTTTAGATCTTCATCAAGTTCCAAGTTGTCCAAAATAACAGCAACAAACAAGCTGAGCAAAATCTACAAAACAATTAAAATATTTTTTAAAAAGTTTGAGTTCCCTTACGAAGCAATATTAAATACTGTGGGTGAAATCCTGACCACACTGAAATACCTGGGAATTTTGCCATTGACTTCAATGAGGCTAGAATTTCACCCTTTGTTTCTACTAGTCTTTTTATAGGTAGTATATTATATTTAGCTGTGTATACAATAATTAAACAAAATTACAATTTGAAGATTTTAGACTCCATGATCAATCCATTTTTTATGTTTAATGAATATCCTTTGAAATGTACCTAACAGGAGAAAATCACTTAACATTAATCAAAATAATTATAACAAGAAACAAAGTGTAATCCTGAAGTAGCTCTTAGTAGGAGAAATACTACAAAACTATGTTATGCAATAAATAATAAAGCCAAGTTTTCAAAAGTGCTAAGTGGCTTATAGGCATAAATCCCATTTTTAAAAATATTGTAGGGATTAAGGAGCCTAAGTGACATTGAAAGTCTATGGTGTTTAGGTGCATAGGAATGCAGACAGACTTCAAGCACCGAAGTCACTTTTGCAAGGCATTTTGTACTGCCAGGGAATTCACCCCAAGAGGGGTTAGATGGTGGTTCTGCTGATACCCTCATTCGGGATTTCCAATAGAGAGAAGTAGCTTCCTTTTATGGCTTGGGCCCTGATGTGGCAAACAATGAGAGTGCTTCACTTAGGCACTTTTGAAAACTTGGCTCATACACAGGACCATGAAATATAAACAACATATTGGACAAATAATTTCTGAAAAATGTCAATCTTCAGAAAAAGGAATGTTCTTATTGTAACGTATTTGCTTGGACGATATTTAGGAGATTTCCTGCACTTGCTGTGAAGAGCATATTTAATAGACTATATAATTAAACATTACTTCATCTATTAGTGGTAACAGATTTCAGTCCTGAGGTTGCTGTGTTAAATATTAAAGTGGCCTTTTAAATGCTAAAGCAAGGCAGAATTCAGATATAGTACCTCTTCACTAGCATGAAATTCTCTAATCATTAACAATTATCAGTGAGAATTTGTCATTCTGTCAGAATTTTATGGTATAGTAGTTTTTCTTTGAACAACCTGCATAGTCTATTATACTGTAATACATAAAGCCTGACCATAACAGTTAAGAAACTATTTATATTGGCATTTAGTACTTACTGTTTATACTGAAGAGACACACAGTAACTATTAAATAGATGGCAAGTTAGTACCTCATTATGTCATATATATCTATACACATATATATCATAAAGAATCATAGAATATCAGGGTTGGAAGGAACCTCAGGAGGTCATCTAGTCCAACCCCCTGCTCAAAGCAGGACCAATTCCCAACTAAATCATCCCAGCCAGGGCTTTGTCAAGCCTGACCTTAAAAACCTCTAGGAAGGAGATTCCACCACCTCCCTAGGTAACCCATTCCAGTGCTTCACCACCCTCCTAGTGAAAAAGATTTTCCTAATATCCAACCTAAACCTTCCCCACTGCAACTTGAGACCATTACTCCTTGTTCTGTCATCTGCTACCACTGAGAACAGTCTAGATCCATCCTCTTTGGAACCCCCTTTCAGGTAGTTGAAAGCAGCTATCAAATCCCCCCTCATTCTTCTCTTCTGCAGACTAAATAATCCCAGTTTCCTCAGCCTCTTCTCATAAATCATGTGCTCCAGCCCCCTAATCATTTTTGTTGCCCTCCGCTGGACTCTTTCCAATTTTTCCACATCCTTCTTGTAGTGTGGGGCCCAAAATTGGACACAGTACTCTAGATGAGGCCTCACCAATGTCGAATAGAGGGGAATGATCACGTCCCTCGATCTGCTGGCAATGCCCCTATTTATACATCCCAAAATGCCATTAGCCTTCTTGGCAACAAGGGCACACTGTTGACTCATATCCAGCTTCTCATCCACTGTGACCCCTAGGTCCTTTTCTGCAGAACTGCTTCCTAGACATTCGGTCCCTAGTCTGTAACAGTGAATGGCATTCTTCCGTCCTAAGTGCAGGACTCTGCACTTGTCCCTGTTGAACCTCATCATATTTCTTTTGGCCCAATCCTCTAATTTATCTAGGTCCCTCTGTATCCTATCCCTACCCTCCAGCGTATCTACCACTCCTCCCAGTTTAGTGTCATCTGCAAACTTGCTGAGAATGCAGTCCACACCATCCTCCAGATCATTAATGAAAACCCTATAAATTTATTATTAAATATTATTATTAAATAATACATATTAATGAAAACAATATAAACACAGTCAAGCCACACAAGACTTTCATCATTCTCTTTCACTTCACCATAAACCTTAGAGCACTTATCACAAAACAACAGTTAAACCCAAACTTATTATTTGTTTAATCTCCTCAGTTTCCATCGGGATTTATAGTCTTCACTTCGAAAATAATTTTTTTTCTTCAAGACTCAACTTATCCTCAGCTTCTATTGAGAAACCGAATCATTTATTTCTAACTCTCTACAGTCTTCTTTGCCAAGTGCATACAATTATCACTCCTCCTTGCTCTGGCTCCTGAAAGTTATTATTTACTTCTACATTTAATTGCTTTATTTTTTAGCCACTTATTGTTTATTCTTAGACCTTTTCTTGTTTGTTTTGGTAGCAACCTGACCCTTTCCACATCTCTTCACTGATCAAACATTCATTTTTCTCTTACATTTTCCCTCTTCATTTTTCAGTGTTGTTATTTCTATTTTCATTTTCTTTTGTCTTCATACAACTTTGTTCTACTCTGATTTCTTTCCCCTTCTATAGTCTGAGAAGACCTGAGAGCTGAAATGTCAACTTTAACCATGTGTTCTCCCTGCTACTCAGATGCACTTTATTAATTGCAGAGACACTATATGGTATCATTCATATAGGGATCAGGCAACTGCAAATTACTCCTTGCAGTTTCCTTTCTACTTTTCCATTGTGTGTGGGGACAGGGTGAGTGTAATATGTGTGTGCCCATACAACCCCACATACCATGGAAGAAACCATACAAACGGATTGGTATGTACAGGAGTATTCCCAGAACAGGGCTGAGGATGAGATGTAGGGAGGTAGCACAGCACTTGGGAGACTGACTCTCTTGAAATTGAGATATTAGACAAGGAAGGATGTGGCCCACTGGGCCAAGAACATCCTTTGCACTGTCAGAGAAAGGGGAGCGTGAGATTTCCCCATACCCCCCAATCAACTTTACAACATGTGTTTTCAAGTCCAGGATCATTTTCCCAGTTCCATATACACAAGCTGCTCTAGCCACCAAACAACTTGTGATTCCTGATGTCAGAGCAGGAGTCATCCCACCCCCCCCATCCGGCCTGATCCTGTTCAGGGTCAGCTGGTTAAGTAGCTGGTTAAGTAGCTGTAAGAGAATCAGATGCCCCTTACTGGCACCTATTATTGGGTCAGCATTTTGGCCCATATGAAAGAACTCATCTGCTTGGTATGGTGCAGGTGAAATTCTATAATCAGTGAAGCAAACAACAGAAAAGAGGGTGTATGTACATAGGTAAACATAGAGTAAGTCAGGTAAGAAAAGCTATGCTGTAGATAAGGTAGGGAGGTTCTGAAAGTCAGAGAAAGGAATGGAGGACAGAGAAAGTAGGAATAAGAATATTCTTATTTTTAATACAAAATATATGATGAGCACCATGAGAAATTAGTGGTAAATGCATCTGTTATTTAGTCTCAGGGACTGATGGAAACTAAGGGGACCATGGATTGGATTGTGATGTTCTCTGTGGTCAGCATCTGAAAAACAGTACCAAGGCCCTAACTTACCTAGAATTTTTGCAGAAATGCTTTCCTTCTGCTCTCTACCTAGAACAGGGGTCGGCAACGTTTGGCACGTGGCTCGCCAGGGTAAGCACCCTGGCGGGCCGGGCCAGTTTTATTTACCTGCTGACGCGGCAGGTTCGGCCGATCGCGGCCCCCACTGGCCGTGGTTCGCCGTCCCGGGCCAATGGGGGCAGCGAGAAGCTGCGGCCAGCACATTGCTCGCCTGCGCC